TGTGGTGTACATGGTGGCCACTGTGGTGTAGCTGGTGGCCACTGTACTGTACATGGTGGCCACTGTGGTGTACATGGTGGCCACTGTAGGTGTAGCTGGTGGCCACTGTACTGTACATGGTGGCCACTGTACTGTACATGGTGGCCACTGTACTGTACATGGTGGCCACTGTGGTGTACATGGTGGCCACTGTACATGGTGGCCACTGTACTGTACATGGTGGCCACTGTACTGTACATGGTGGCCACTGTGGTGTAGCTGGTGGCCACTGTGATGTAGCTGGTGGCCACTGTGGTGTAGCTGGTGGCCACTGTACTGTACATGGTGGCCACTGTACTGTACATAGTGGCCAGTGTACTGTACATGGTGGCCACTGTGGTGTAGCTGGTGGCCACTGTGGTGTACATGGTGGCCACTGTGGTGTAGCTGGTGGCCACTGTACTGTACATGGTGGCCACTGTGGTGTACATGGTGGCCACTGTAGGTGTAGCTGGTGGCCACTGTACTGTACATGGTGGCCACTGTACTGTACATGGTGGCCACTGTGTAGCTGGTGGCCACTGTGGTGTAGCTGGTGGCCAATGTACTGTACATCTTGAGGTTATCTTGAGATGATTTCGGGGCTTTTTAGTGTCCCCGCGGCCCGGTCCTCGACCAGGCCTCCACCCCCAGGAAGCAGCCCATGACAGCTGACTAACACCCAGGTACCTATTTTACTGCTAGGTAACAGGGGCATAGGGTGAAAGAAACTCTGCCCATTTTTTTCTCGCCGGCGCCTGGGATCGAACCCAGGACCACAGGATCACAAGTCCAGCGTGCTGTCCGCTCGGCCGACCGGCTCCCTACTGTACATGGTGGCCACTGTGGTGTACATGGTGGCCACTGTAGGTGTTGCTGGTGGCCACTGTACTGTACATGGTGGCCACTGTACTGTACATGGTGGCCACTGTGGTGTACATGGTGGCCACTGTGGTGTACATGGTGGCCACTGTGGTGTACATGGTGGCCACTGTGGTGTACATGGTGGCCACTGTGGTGTAGCTGGTGGCCACTGTGGTGTACATGGAGGCCACTGTGGTGTACATGGTGGCCACTGTGGTGTAGCTGGTGGCCACTGTGGTGTAGCTGGTGGCCACTGTGGTGTACATGGAGGCCACTGTACTGTTCATGGTGGCCACTGTGGTGTACATGGAGGCCACTGTACTGTTCATGGTGGCCACTGTGGTGTACATGGAGGCCACTGTACTGTTCATGGTGGCCACTGTGGTGTACATGGAGGCCACTGTGGTGTACATGGTGGCCACTGTGCTGTACATGGTGGCTACTGTACTGTACATGGTGGCCACTGTACTATACATGGTGGCCACTGTGGTATACATGGTGGTTACTGTACTGTACATGGTGGCCACTGTACTGTACATGGTGGCCACTGTACTGTACATGGTGGCCACTGTACTGTACATGGTGGCTACTGTACTGTACATGGTGGCCACTGTACTGTACATGGTGGCTACTGTACTGTACATGGTGGCTACTGTGGTATACATGGTGGCTACTGTACTGTACATGGTGGCTACTGTGGTATACATGGTGGCTACTGTGGTATACATGGTGGCTACTGTACTGTACATGGTGGCCACTGTACTGTACATGGTGGCTACTGTACTGTACATGGTGGCTACTGTGGTATACATGGTGGCTACTGTACTGTACATGGTGGCCACTGTGGTATACATAGTGGTTACTGTACTGTACATGGTGGCTACTGTACTGTACATGGTGGCCACTGTACTGTACATGGTGGCTACTGTACTGTACATGGTGGCTACTGTACTGTACATGGTGGCCACTGTACTGTACATGGTGGCCACTGTACTGTACATGGTGGCCACTGTGGTATACATAGTGGTTACTGTACTGTACATGGTGGCTACTGTACTGTACATGGTGGCCACTGTACTGTACATGGTGGCCACTGTGCTGTACATGGTGGCCACTGTACTGTACATGGTGGCCACTGTGGTATACATAGTGGTTACTGTACTGTACATGGTGGCTACTGTACTGTACATGGTGGCCACTGTACTGTACATGGTGGCTACTGTACTGTACATGGTGGCCACTGTACTGTACATGGTGGCCACTGTACTGTACATGGTGGCCACTGTGGCGTACATGGTGGCCACTGTGGCGTACATGGTGGCCACTGTACTGTACATGGTGGCCACTATAGTGTACATGGTGGCCACTGTACTGTACATGGTGGCCACTATAGTGTACATGGTGGCCACTGTACTGTACATGGAGGCCACTGTGGTGTACATGGTGGCCACTGTACTGTACATGGTGGCCACTGTACTGTACATAGTGGCCACTGTACTGTACATGGTGGCCACTGTACTGTACATGGTGGCCACTGTGGTGTACATGGTGGCCACTGTACTGTACATGGTGGCCACTGTACTGTACATGGTGGCCACTGTGGTGTACATGGTGGCCA